GGTTGTCTCCACCTGGACCGACAGCGGGCGGACGGGGGAGAGGCACACCGGAGGTTGACAGTTGATCAATAACACTGATATTAAATTTTGACCTGGGCATAGGATTGTCATGCTGAGCCGCATACAAAATATATGCGTTCAGCAGAGCCATATCAATGAAATTGTAAACGATCTTCCTCCAGTACTTAGATGACGTTCGAGTGCAGGACATGTGATAATCACTTTTGTCTTTCGAATCGGCTCCACCCATAAATTCCTTGTACACCTTGACCGTCGCTGGTTTTACTGAGACGCCTTTAGCTCCTCGACTGATAACTTTGACGTCTTGGGCATGCATACAGTTTGATATTAGGTGAACCGGTTTCCTGGTTTCACGCTCTTTGTACTTCACAAGAAGGACTGACGCCGAAGCATCAAACCTCCTCCTAAAATACAAAGTCTCACCAACTTGTAGCACTGTATCCAAGGCGACTTTTGAAAGATCCTTAGACCGCTTGTTGACCGTTCCTGTCAAAAAGGTGTTTCTCTGGCTCAACCAGCGGGCTAAGGCGATCTTTGTGTAGAAGTTATCAGTGAACAAATGATAACCTTTGTCCAGTAAACCAACTTTCCCCATCAGGTACGCAACAACTTTCTGAGTGAAGGGATCAGAACCAGAAGACAAAAAGTATTTACCAGAGTACAACACTGACTGAAGGACGTAACCCGTCTTGGAATCACACAACTCAAACTTTTTAATGCCAAACCGTGAGTGGTGTTTGTTTGGCATGTATTCTATGAAAGTTTTTCGGTTTTTCATACCCACGATACTTTCATCAATACATACGTTCTGATTTGGGATGAAATAAGTTTTAAAACTACCATTCATCATTTGAAGGAAATCACGAATCTTCACCCATGGATCATATCCTTTATGACCCTGGGGTGGAGAGACGCGAGATGACAAATGAAGCATGGATGTTATCAGCTGAAATCTTCTAAGAGTCATGGTTTGGCAGAAAAACGGAATATGAAGTGTACGATCGTTACTCCAATAGTCGGTGAGATTCTTCCGACGGGTTATTCCCATTGACAACAAAACAGCGATGTACTTCTTCATTTCGTCCACCGTGACGTCCACCCATCTGCGAAAACGGGATTGCGGGGACAATCCAGTTTTTCGTAGATGTTTGAGTTTCCTGCGGGCATACAGGTTTGTCTCATTGACAAACATGTCCCACATAGCCCCAGTGAAAAATAGGAAGAAGTACTGCAAAGGGTTTACAGATATTTCACAATTTGGCCCAGGATTATCAACTTTAAATTTGGAAATCACGTCCACTGGCGGCTCAGGCGGATAGATCCTGACCCACGGCGCTTCTAACGGCAGCTCTTGCAGCGGCGGTCCTCCCTGCGGAACTGGATCAGCTGCTGGTTCGAGATCAGGGGCTTCAACTGGACTGGCGGCTACCCTGGGGACCTTGGGTGGCGGGCCTGTGCCTATCTCTTGAAGGAGCGTCTCATCCGTCATGTACAGCCGTTTGGTGGACTTTTTCTTAGGGGGCCTAGGCCTAGGCTGTTCAGGCATAGGGTCGTCACATTGCGGAGAGGGAGGCGAATCGGGGATCTCAGCTACACCGTACGGCCCTAGATCGTCCTCTCCATCGGTGGTGTCGAGTTCGTCTGAGTCGGGCTCATACTCCTCATCACTGCAGGAAAAGTCACACAATTCTTCCACGTCACTTTCACATTCCACCATTTTAGATATTGCCTCATACAGTTCGTGCCTGTTAGTCCGTAGATTGTCCCTCAGTGGCGGTGGTGGATTATCAGAACGAGGAGGGGTGGAACAAGGTAGAACATCATCAACCGCCTCTTCGTCCTCACTAAAAGGTTCGATATCAAACCCGGAAGATCTCAAGTCTTTCTTCAACAAGCGGTTTATATCACACTGATATTTTCGTGGCATGATGCTAAAGAAAAATACAACCTTTTATAAACACTATTTCACACAATTCAGCATAGTTGGGAAAGTTAGTAAACAATTCTAACTAGTTAGAAGTTATGAGTTAGTTCCGTAAAAAGTAACTGATAGAAGTTATTAGTTAGTTAGTTTAATAAGTAACTGATAGAAGTTATCTATATATTAATTTGAAACTGTTTTTCTTTGTCACAGCTATTTTGAGAGAACGGCTGGGCGTAGAAACTCGGTTTGGTTAGTTGAAAAGCTAACTGATAGAAAATAATGTTAGTTTTCTTAGAATTTAGATTCAAGATTCAAGATTCTTTATTTCCAATAATGAACAATAAATAAAAGGTGACATATTTTATAAAAGGAAAAATATTCCTCACAAGACTACACGTCTGTGTGTGAGGAAGAGTCCATGGCACTCGCTCACGTCACTCTTAAAAAATGTATACACTTACATAAAACAACTTTTCTAGTAAACAATAATATAACTTATACATTAAAATTAAAAATAAAATAAAATATCTTAGTCCTGGACAACATAGAACCATCAGAATATAAGTTCTAAACACTTGTTAAGTTAAAGCAAATTAAATGTAATGTAATGACCCCTCAAAACAAAATATTTCTTACAATTAAAAAAAAAATTAGCTGTTTGTTGGGCAGTTGTTTAAGTATTTTGTATGTAATTAAATAATGACACATCTTGGTAACTAAGCTATACTATAATATGAGTGGTACCACCCGCAACATCCTAAGACAAAAATTACCAAAGCAGGGTAATGCCAAACAAGTTGTGTTTTGACAGTTCACAAAATGTCAGCTGCAAAAGTCGTGCCGTGACAAAATTAATTTGATTTCTAATCGCCGTGACATTGTTATATACCTGCTACAGGGTTTGTTTATTAGGTATGTAATAACATGAAAGTTCAGAATGTGATCATTCGAATGGTAGGTATATGTATTGTTCACATCTGAGTTGATTTTAAGTGGTTTTTACAGTTAAAATTTCGGCCCATACCATTGCATTACGATGTTATGCCTTTGCCGTGATGCCTTTCTAGGCATCACGGCGAACGATCGTATTACGATTGTTGGCCACTGCTAGGGTTAAAGCGTTTATTACTATAGTATAAAATTAGTAATTAATGTTGTAATCCTCACATCTTTGCTCCACTCGAAGCTGAGTCTAGGGTTGTTCCGAAGGGTGTCATCTCACCAAGTCGTATCTTTCGTTCCATCTCCGTCTCTTTATCTGAAGGCTCAAGCAGCACTGACGTTTCATTTCTAAAAAACATGGATTTGTTCATGTAATTAGGGTATTTATTTTATTTTCACTTCAGCTCTCTTTAATACTTTACAGTGTCTAACTAGATCAATGAAACAATTAATCTGTTAAAATACAAATAAAATTTAATACAACAAAATCATGATAATTTTTAAATAGTTGAAAAAATACAGAAGGCCTTCTTTGGTATTGGCCGGAACACCAATCTTTACAGTGCACTGCGGCAGACCTAGGTTAGTTTTTCATTGTCATCTAATCCTCGCCATTCCCATTGTGTATAAACCATCTTTAGGGTCACTTAGGCTTAATCCCTAGAACTCAGTCTATGTTGGATTACTGAATTTTCAAGCCAGCACGACTATCATCAAAAAGTAATTATGTCACTTAATCTTTACAGATTTGTAATTATTAGGCCGAGTAATAAATTAATTTTGTCACCTTTCTGCAATATCTACTGGTCTGCCTGGGGTGTCTGTATCCAAAGCTTCGTCCACTTGCTGCAATATTCCAGCTTCAAGGGTCGCTTGGTCGTAAACTGACAAACCCTCCAAGTTGTGAAGCTCGGCCGCCTAGAAACATTTAACATCTGTCTATGTGTTTTTAACCTTTAAATCACTGTATAACGTTTTAACTTAACGAATAGAATAAAATTTACACTACATATTAAGTAGGCCATTAAAAAGTTTCAGCAATAAAATAATTTAATAATTAAACTAGAAAAATGTCTAGAACAGGCCTTATAAACGAGTTAACTAAAAAATCAAGAATCAACTGGCATGCTGCACTTCTTTTTTACCTACCTTTTTCTATCAAATTAATATTTGTAGTACTCTCGATAACCTATACCCAGGCCATACCAAAATGCAGCCCAATACCAAAAATAGAAGCCTTAATCGTGTTTGAACTGCTTTGAAAAAAAGGCTGTTTATTACACTTTTTTAGTTTTAAGATAATAACTTACAAGATTTTTCTCGATTCATTGGTCAGTGCCCACCTAGGTTTCTGATTCAAAGGCCTAGGCCTACTGTGATAATTTATGTTATGGTATAGAATGATTTTGCTTTATCTTTACAGACATTTGGACCTCAACAGTTTTCCCAGAGACTAAAATATTGCACACTTTATATATGTTTAAATTGCTTAGTATGAAATAAAACAAAATCTCCTAATTTGATAAAAATATATCCATAAACAAGCAAACTACAACTTTTTACAATATTCTCTATAAGAATAATATGAGAATTTTAAATTTAAATTTTTTTTCAATTTTCGTAACCAATAATTGTACAAAAACACTTAGATATACTAAATTATTTGGATTTTTAAGCTCTATCATGGGCTAGAGAGAAATTGGGAAATTTTGTGTTAGGATATACTGTTTTGATAAATAAAGCAAAAGCAACTATTGTTTATTGTTTAATATCGAATTATGACAAACAGATTTTTTCAGTGGATAGAGTCCGAACTGGGGACGTGCAACCAGTGCTACAATTCCGGAGGTTGTATTTATTATAGTTGGGAAAGTTAGTCAAAATTTCTAACTAGTTAGAAGTTATAAGTTAGTCCCGTAAAAAGTAACTGAAAGAAGTTACTAGTTAGTTAGTTTAAAAAGTAACTGATAGAAGTTATTTTATTAGTTAGTTGAAAAACTAGCTGAGAGAAAATAAAGTTAGTTTTTGAATTTTGTATGATATAGCTGTTTGTTGGACAGTTGTTTTAAAGGATTTCATATGTAATGAAATAATGACACATCTTGGTTACTAATTGTGTTTTAATTAAATATTAATTAAACATTGTCACATTTGCATTACATTTTACATTCATTACTAATTTACTTTAAATGCCTATTAAACTTTAAAAGAACTTGTTTTTCAAAATTGGTGTCGCTTCCTCGTCTATTAGTGATGACTAGGCTTGCCGCACTGAACAGGCGTTCGCAGTGCGCTGATGATGGAACCGCTGTATTGAATTTTATGAAGAGGTTCTTGCAGAGTTCTGACATTTCTTTCACGTCTACTGAGTCATTGAGATAGTGTGCCAACTCAGATTCCGCCTTAGCCCTCTCCATCTGGGAACAGTCAGTGTTGCCGTTGGACTCTTTGGGTACGTCGATCACCGAAAAAAACTTGTCTATTTTAGTGTTCTTTGACTCTGGAGGAGCCTTGCTTCCTGCTGTTGTGGTTCTAGTGGAGGGCTCTTTTCTCACAGCCTTCAGGAACTCGTCAGACAGGGTGTTGCGGATGGTCTGCCTTTCTGCGAGATGTGGCACCCAGATCAGCTTAAACCTAGGAATTAGGCAGGCGGCTATTTCGAACTCCTTGTTTTCAAAATACTTTGAGAACCTGAAAAAAATAATTATAAAAAAATTAATACATATTCATAATACATTATTTATCACAATTTGGTACAAAAGAGAAAAACATAACAAAAATAAGTTAAACATCATAAGAGAGTGACAGTTGGTTTCTGTAGCAAGTTATTATAAAACTTGATCACATTTTACTTAAAATCATGTCATAATAACATGTTATTATTGTATTTATTTAATAAAATTGGATAAACACAATTGGTACCAGCAATATTAAAACAAGCATTTACCGTTTATCAAATCCTTTGAGAAGAGCATGTTTCAACGGTTCACACCACTGGAGTTCTGGCAGGGAAGTTAAAACAGATTTCACAACTGTGAGCGTTGGAAGAAGAAAGCCCATGTACATTTCTTTCTCACCCTGAAGAATGTCCAAAGCTTGAGCGATTGGCTCCATCACCTAGAGAAACATAAAATTATACAAATAAAAAATAGAATTTTGAACCTGTGAGTTATCACTCTTAATAATTCATAAAGTAAACATTTTTAATAAACACAATTTTATTTTGTTTATGCTTGTTTGTGAATTAATTCCTATTATATAAGACCAATAGACCATGTAAAGATTGAAATGTGATTGAAAATTTGTACACTAGTATAGTAATTAGTTTAATTTTTTTACACTTGTTGACGAATACTAACCTTACAGTATTCAGCAAGAAACTCAATTTCTTGAGGCCTTTTAAACATAGGCAGATCCAAGTCCTTGCATAGACTGTCCAGCTTATCTTCTGATTTTACAAGAAGCTCAATAGCGTCAAACTGGGAGTTCCACCTGAAAAAACACAGTACCATTTATGGGCTTTGGAATGCAACTCGAAACTAGACACCTGATTAAAGCGGTTGTTCCAAAATGTTGGTAATTCCTTTAACAGTGCCGGATTTACCACTGCCTATGGCCGCAAGCAAAAGGGGGCTGCAAGCAAAAGGGGGCCGCAGAGGATTGAGAAAAACACTTTTTTTTTATAAAAAAATATTTTAAATCGTCAGTTTGCCGCGATTACAGGTGACCATTTATGATGTCTCTGCGTCCGAGGGAGATGTTCACGATTTTGCCACGGCCGTAGGTGCCGGTGATGAAGTCCCCGTGATTGCGGCCCGCGGGAGACAATCACGATTTAGCTGCGGCCGCGGATGACGGCAATGTTTCCTCATGATCGCAGCCCGCGGGAGACGTTGAAGAATTAGCCGCTGTCGCGAGTGTCGATGATGATGTCCCCGTGATTGCGGCCCGCGGGAGATGTTCACGATTTCGCCGCGGTCGCAAGTATCGATAATGATTTCCCCGTGATTGCGGCTCGCGGCAGATGTTCATGATTTAGCCGTGGCCGCGGGTGACGGTTATGTATCCTCATAATCGATGCCCGCAGGAGACGTTAAAGAATTAGCCGCTGTCACGAGTGTCGATGATGATGTCCCCGTCATTGCGGCCCGCGGGAGATGTTCACGATTTTTCTGCTGTTGCGGGTGGCGGTAATGGTGTCCTCAAGGTCAAAGCTCACGTGATATGATCATGATTTCGCCGCGGTCGCGAGTTTTGAGGATGATGTCCCTTTATTGCAGCCCGCGGGGGATGTTAAAGATTTTTGCGTGGTCATGAATACCTATGATGGCTTTGACTTGGTTTAGGAGTGATGTCCACGATTTCATCCACGATCACGGGTGTCGATGATGATGTCCCCTTGATGCATAGGAGATATTCACGATTACCTCTGCGATCGCAAGGAATTTCCATCACAGAGGGAGGGCCGCTCTAGTAATTTGGCCTAGGGCCGCAAGTACAGTAGAACCTCTTTAATCCGAACTAATTGGGACCAGGGGTAGTTCAGACTATTGAAGAGTTCGGATTCCAGAACATATTGTTTTTACATAACAATAGCTAAAACATGGCTAAAATTGATCAACATTAATTTGGGAAAAGTGAAAAAATGTTTTATAAAGTAAAATACAGTGTTTATTTAATACAGTAGTAAACATGGTGAATAAACAGTACTGTAAATTAAATACAGTATACAATAAAAAACTGCTGTACTGTGTATAGAGTACAGCAATGAGGGGTGCGGATTAGTGGACGTTCGGATTACAGGGGTTCGGATTAAAGAGGTTCTACTGTACCCTAAATCCGGCACTGTCATTTAATCCGAATAGAATTGTTGTTGACAACCTTGTAACCGGTGCTTATATGAAATTTATTTCATTACTAGTCTACGAAAAGAAATTTCAGAATTGTTAATCAAAAATAAATTATTGGAGTAATACCATACCTATTTGCACCAGGTACAAGAAAGTGCCTGCCTAGGTGCTTTTTTATGATGTCTGCAGCCAATGGAGACTTGTTTTGTTTATTGAAGATGGCATGGCATTTAGCAAACGCCAGTCGCATAATTTTCCTATAAGCAGGGTCACATTTCGCAGCCTCAGCATCAGTTGTTGCTAGCAAGTTCAGGGTGTGGGCAGCACAGGGATGGTGCGGAGGAAGACGTCCATAATCATCAGAGTCCTCCAATATCGGTGCTATAGCTATAATGTCAGGGTCTGGCACAATGTCACCCCCATCAATTTCTTCGGTGTCTTCACAACATAAGTCTGAATCGGGTCCCGAGCCCCCAAAAAGCCTGAAAAAAAGTATCCAGTTGTTAATAATAGTAACATTTACCTTCTAAAGACTGACCAGCAGTCGGCATTAGCGCAAACTGTTGAAATTTCACTTAAATTGCTCAGCAATTCATTTTTCATTTGGATGAATGATTTATCGAACATATCCATAACAAGTTCAACATCAACATTTGTAGTAAGCTATGCCATTCTTTTTTCCTGTGACTTTTATTCGAAAATGTTGCAAAACGAAGGAAAATTCAAAGTATTTAAGTACGAAAAGTACAAAGAACTATACGTTATGTCATCTAAATATATCATTTGAAGAGTGACAAGCAACAACAATATAATTATGTTGTTCAAAAGTTTATTGCGGACATTTTCCATCACGATTGTAAATAAACGGTATCAGCATTCTGACACATACTTTCTCCCATAAGTTTGTCAACAACCTTTATCATGTGTAAGCAGTGAGAGTATACGGAAATGGGATTTGTACAATTTTGTTCAGAATTTAAAGGACTATAACATACTAAATTTTTATCAAAATCGTTCGGGCCAATTTTGGGGAAAAATCTGATTTTTCCGTTATTTATGGGGTCTTTATGTAAAAATAACATAATTTACAATAACTTTTGAACCGTAATTTTTACAGAAATGGGATTTATACCATTTTGTTCAGAATATAAAGGGCTACAATATACTGAATTTTTATCAAAATCGTTCGGGCCATTTTTGAGAAAATTCAATTTTTCCAGTTTTGTATGGGTTTTTATGGGAAAATCCCCATTAAAAACCAAAATTTCAAAAAAATGAAAAGAACGCCTGGAGATACCATGTATTAGAACCTACATACCAAATGTCATCGAAATCGGACCACAGGTGTAGTCTCTAGCTCTGTACACATCCAGACACACACACACACACACACACATCACTTCGAAAACCACTTTTTTGAATCCTATCCACTCAAAACTCAAACTTGAAAATTTTGACGAAAACAATACTTTCTCCATATACTATGGTATAGGGGGAGAAAGTAAAAACAATACACAACGTTTCAGGATCTGGAATCTGATCCCGTCCTCAGGTGAAAAAACTTAACTAACACATTACAACTAACAATAAGACTGCTGGTGTTGTTGGTTTGTCCGCAATAAACCTTTGAACAACATTAACTCACCATCACCAACAATGAACTTCAAACAAAGGAATATAATTATAATTGAATATTACCAAATAATAAAAAAAAAATTAGAATGAATATAAGGGTCTTAATATATAAATTTACTTAAAATATTCATAATATAACTAAAAACAACACTCATCCAAAATAGTAGCAACTCTGAACGTACCGAAATGCTCTTAGAAAGTTTGATCCGTTGTCGGTGATCATCATTGAACATTTGTTTTTTATCTCAAAATCGTCCAGGATTGATTCAATAGCATCAGCAATTACATCATATGTATGTTGGCCAAGTATTCTTCTACATCCTATTCCCATAGATCTCCGCTCTAACGTTGAAGGATCCAGCCAATGGATAGTCATTCCAATATATGATCTATAAACATTAAACACATGTAATCAATGTAAAATTTAAATTACCAAAGTACAAATGAATAATAAATACTATCTAACTGGGTAATGGAACCCAAACACGTCGCAAAATAGTTAGTAATCAGGCGTTGATTGGGCTGTTTTTTTATAGAATATGTCAAGTCAATCGCACTTTTAGGAGGATTACCACGAGATAAACTTACACTAGGCTAATAGTAGTTTTTTATGTTGATCAGAAACAAATCTAGGGTTAAGTTTGATCAATGGGATGACTTTAATTTACACTAATTTTGTCTAGCCCTTACAAAAGGAAGAAATAATAACAGGGTCGAGGTGTTAATTTAGCGGTTTTGAGCAAGAACTAAGATTATCTCAACACACCGTTATTTGCCTTTTCATATTTGACGAAGACAATTTCCAATATTTCAATGAGGGACGCCTTTTTATCATCATTAACAAAAATACCAAAGCTACCTTTAGTAAACCAATATTTATTTACAAACATGTTTGCTGCCTTCAGCAGAGTTTCTCTGGAGTCATTCAGAATTATTTATTGAAAATAACATTAACAAAAGCAAACAAAGACAAAAAAACTGTTCTTCAAACAAAAGATGTGTTGTACTGGGATATACCGGGTGTCTACAAAGTCTTGGTCTGATTTAATAGCTTTGCTGTACGAAAACCATTAGAGCCACACTTAACTTGTATGCCTTGTTTTGAAGGGAATTTAATCAAGTTTTGTTTAATGCAATTTGTAACACCTAATCACAGCTGATTGACAATAATACAGTTATGATTTAATATAATAACAAATCAGAAATGGTGAGTTTACAAGAGAAATCACAGTTTGTTTTGTTGTTTCACGAAACCCAATCCCCTATATCAGTTCAACGACTATCCATTTAAGTGCGAAGGTTAAGAGACAAAATAACTGTAGAATTTAGAGGAGTTAACATCCCACATAAATCATAAATCAGTTGTAGCACCGGCCAGCCAACTATAAATATTTTATAAAACATTAATAAAACCAGTCTAGACTTGCAAGTTTTGCCCTTGCCAACAATTTCAAAATAGTGAGTACTATGTTCCCTAGGAAAGATATACATAAGTACACATGGACATCCCCTAATGGAACCACTAGAAATCAAATAGACCATGTCCTAGTAGACCAACGTCACAAAAGCAGCATAACAGATATAAAAAGTATAAGGGGAGCAGAATGCGGAACAGACCACTTTTTAATGTTAGTCAAGGTAGCCCAAAGAATCGCAATACATAAAAGAAAGGAAGAAATATATAATTTACATATTGACACAGAAAAGTTAGAAGACAAACAGGTAACAAGAGAATTCAAGCTGAAACTTGAAAACAGATTCCAACCTCCTAGTAGAAGAGGATGTAAATAAAAACTGGAGTGTGTTTAAGGAAAGCATAATAAAAACAGCGAAAGAAGTGTGTGGGAAAAAGAAAAGAACCTACAAAAAACCCTGGTTTGATGAGGAATGTGAAACAAAGGTAATAGAGCGAAAGGAGAAGAAAAGGGCATGGTTGTGCAGCCAGTCCACAGAAGATAAACAACAACACAATGAAATAAGTAGAGAAACTAACAGAATATTGAGACAGAAGAAAAGAAGGTACATAAATAGTCTGATTGAAAAAGCAGAAGAAGAGTGCACAGCAAATAATGCACGAGATTTTTACAAAAACGTAAGGTTTTTCAAAAAAGGTCACACTCCAAACCCTTATGGAGTGAAAAAAAGAAGGCATTGTTGTTACAGAAACCCAACAGGTTATAGAAAGATGGAGAGAATATTTCTGCGACTTACTAAATGTAGATGGTGTGGACTTTGCACCAGAAGAAGATAACGATGACATATACTATCACGTTCAACCAAAGGTTGAGGCACCAACCAGAGAAGAAGTCGAAGCAGCAGTCAAAGCTCTAAAGAGCAATAAAGCCCCGAGCAGAGATGGGATAACAGCAGAAATACTGAAGAAGGGAGGGGGAGTAGTAATAGGAAAGCTTTGGGAACTGATTAAAATAATCTGGGAGAGAGAAGAAATTCCAGAAGAATGGAGGGAAGCAATAGTAGTCCCCATTCACAAGAAAGGAGAGAAAGAAGAATGTAGTAATTTTAGAGGCATATCACTCCTTAGCATACCGTACAATGTTTTATCAAAGATACAAAGATAGTATTAAATCGGATCGAAGAATATACAAATGAACTAATCCTAGATCATCAGGCTGGTTTCATGAAAGGCAGGTCCACAATGAATCAAATATTTATCCTTAAAGAAGTCATATCGAAGTATTGGGAGTTTAATAGGGAGTTTTTTGCAATATTTATTGATTTCCAAAAAGCGTATGATAGCATAAATAGAAGACCAAACTTATAAACCTTGCTAGAACAACTGTAGCAAATTCCACATGTTCAGTAAAAGTAAATGGGAGAGTCTCGGAGCCCTTTACAGTAAATGCAGGGGTAAGGCAAGGGGATGGGCTCTCCCCAATCCTCTTCAACCTAGCAATGGAAGAAGCTCTACAAGAAGTGGCAACAATAGATAAGGGAATTTCAATTGGCTCCAGAATTAACATATTAGCTTTTGCAGACAATGTCGTCATTTTTGCAGAAACTTTAGAGGACCTACGCCAACTAACAAAAGTATTTATGGACAATACAGGACAATTAGGACTAAAAGTAAATTATGGGAAAACCAAATATATGCAATTTTCAAGAAATCAAGGTATAGCCCAAGACCCACTGCAGGTAGATGACCATAAATTTGAAAAAGTAGAATATTTTAAGTACTTAGGGGTTATCTTATCCAGGGAAAACAAAGAAGAAATAGAAATTCAAAATAGACTAAATCTGGCAAACAGATGTTTCTACGCTTGCAACAGACTGATGTCCTCCAAGTTACTGTCAAAAAACACCAAAGTTAGAATTTATAAGACAATAATCAGCCCAGTATTATTATACGGACCTGAAACATGGAAACCAAATAAAAAAGAAGAAAAGAAGTTAATCACATTCGAAAATAAGATTTTAAGAAAAATCTATGGACCCATTTATGAGGGTGGTGAATAGAGGAAGAGACACAACAGAGAACTGAGAGAACTCTACAGAGATCCAGATGTGGTGTGTGAATTTAAGTGTAGAAGAGTTAGATGGGCTGGACATGTTTTACGAAGAGAGGAGCAAAATAAGTTAAAATTAGTTTTACTAAGAAATCCCAAAGGAAGACGACCGAGAGGAAGGCCAAAACAAAAATGGTGGAGCCAAGTAAAGAAAGACATGGAGCAACTAGGAGCAACTGAGGAGGATGCAGAGGATAGAGCAAGATGGAGAGGCTTTGTTGGTGCGGCCAAATATCTTCTTAGATATGCATGGCCCTGAGAGTAAGAGTAAGTAATAAAACCAGATAGAGTAATAATACAGTTGAACCTCGTTTGTACGAACCTCAATAAAACGAGTTCCTCGATAAGACAAATTTTTTTTAATCCCCCTGACACTTTCATATAGGTCAATGCTAAAAACACCTCTATACAACGTAGTAATTAAGTTAAAAACCTCCATAAGATGAATTTGTTTGTGACATGGGCTAGTACTGATTAACCTCCATACAAAGAATATTCTTAGGAAAAAACCTCTACAAGACAAACGTGACCTCTATAAGAAGAATTTATCATAATCTTAACCTCCCTAGTACGTAGTTTTCAAAACAAACAGAAGCTTGTCTCAACATGAAACCCTCACCCATCCCTCCTCCTTCCTCAGTAATTGTTTGGAGAAACCTTGGAGCGAGGAGAAACCTCTATAAGAAGAATAACAGCAGCATTAAACCACGATAAAACGACCCTCTTTATTAAGAATACCTCTATAGTACGAATTTTTCCCGTATCCCTTGAAATTCGTCTTATATAGGGTCAACTGTAGTAACATTTACCTTCTAAAGACTGACCAGCAGTCGGTAGTAGCACAAACTGTCGAAACTTCACTTAAGGAGCTCAGCAATTCATTTTTCATTTGGATGAATGATTTATCCAACATATCCATAAGATTCTTCCTATTAGGAGGATTTTTTCCACCACATGTTTGTATGAGATTTAAAAAATCTTCGTGCTCAACAATCGAAAGTGGGCAACCAGTGCCAACAATAAACCTGAGCACAGCTTTATTTTGATCTTCAGTTGTCTTTGGAATGTTGTCTCCCAAAAGTGTCTGTTTTGCACATTTTGATTTTAGCACAGGCTCGGTAATATCAGTAGAGTTGTTTTTTCGTTTGCGCCCCTTTTTTTCTACTTTTTCATTGAAATAAAAAATCTTAGAAGGATGTGTCGTCTACAAAACAATTTAAATATTTAACACCAACAGTCAACAAGTTTAAGTACAGTACAGTATGTTTTCATAACAATGATCTTATTTAAACCCTAAAATGGGAGCAAAATATGGTCAATTGCAGCATAAAATTGATCAAATCTGACTTTATAGTCAACTTAAACAAATCTTTAAAAATTCCACAAATTGCAACATGTTATTTGACGGTACGGTTTTCTAGGATTTAGAGTTAAGTTTAAGATTAATAAATACTTTTGCTAATAAAATTATTAAAGGTGATACATAAAACTTGTCATTTCAAAAATAACCCATTTTCATACAGCTGAGATCTCTGAAAACCGTCAATTTCCATACACCAAAAACAAATAGTGATCATCTGACCTTTCCTGACATAGACATTACTTTCGATACACAAACATAAGTTACAACTAAAGTTCCCGGTTAGCTCTAAACACAGTTTGTTGATGTTCAATTAGCTGAATGTTACACTAAAATTAATTGTACAGCCATATTGTGTTTAGCTCAGAAAAAAGAATGGATTACAAAATTGAAAATATCACATATTTTTTTAAAATCTGGAAATAGTTTTCTTAGTGTGATAAAAGTATCGTTTACTACTAGCTTTAAAAGTGACCCAATTCGTGGTGAGATAGGGGCCTATTGTTTAAAAGAGCATAGGAAACACTATTGAAAAAAATATTATTATAACTTTACTAAAAAGATAAAAATTATAATCACATTTTAAAAAATTGGCCTATATAACTTAAATATATAAGGCCACTTTAAGTTAAAAACAAGACCATCATATTTTTCCCCACTTACCTTAATATGCGCTCTCAAATTCGAAACACTTGTGACTGATGCTTTAACTATTTTGGTTCTGGGTAAACACAATAAACATTTCAACGAGATTCCACCCTTTTCATTTCTTCCAACTTGTTGAAATATATCACTTAAGTTTGGCCACTGGATATCACAATCGCCCGCCATTGCAAACAAATATTTTTAATCTACTGTACTTAATAGAAACTGTTCACCTTATAACTATTTAACTATCACTAAAATATATATATAAACAAGACAACTAAGACTCACTTGGGCGGAAACAAATGAATTAAAACCTGTCACTGTCAGAATAAACATCGACTGAAGTGAAGACAATGTTTTGACACTTGAGATTACATATCAATCGCCAAACAAACATTCCCCCTTCCCACCCTTCGGTGCTTGGGGTGTTGTTATTGGCCTCCATTGTCTCGCCCCCCGGATCCGCTGCATACCAAAGCAACTGGACTTTGACTTCCTCTTTCCCCACCAGCGCGTTTTTTTTTTTAGCGCGTTGTTTGTCAACAAGGGCGCTGATCTCTCACGTACACATGCAACCCTAACTGAACACGTAAAATAAATAACCGGTATTTGAAATACTTTCGCCTGACCAAAATACTAACAATTTAAAACTAATGAATTTAGGATTATCTATTCGTTACTTATAAAACTAACTGAGTAGCCTACAAGTTATTTCCAGCACTTTTTAAAAACTAACAAATAAAATAGAAGTTAGCAGAAAAAACTAACGAATTGGCGCTATTTGTTAGAAATTCTATTCGTTATTCCCAAGTATAGTGTTAGGATATGTTGTTTTGATAAATAATAAGCAAAAGCAACTAGGTACCGGTATTGTTTATTGTTCAACATCAAATTATGACAAGCAGATTTTTTGAGTGGATTGAGACCGTATTGGGGACGTACGACCGGCACTAAAATTCCGGAAGTTATATTTATTATACATATATAAAAAACTATTTACTCAAAATAAGATACCCGGTTACAATGAACAGGTATTCTGCCTTTTTTCGATTAAAAACAAATGTTAGTTGAAACCAGATTCAATTAATTTCTTAAACGAGGACATTGATTGTCCCGAAAAAGTTTTTTGTCCCATAAACTTATATTCACACAAAATTAATTTACGACATACCTAACTTAATTAAATTAAACATTTTAAGATTTAGTTCAAAATTACACACAATTTAATGAACATTTAGTATGAACATAAAAAATATAAGCACCAACAATCAATAACGGCTAGGCCTACTGTAAATAACTTTTAAAAGGAAGCATTTCAGTGACAGTTTGTAGCTAAAGAAAACCAAGCTTTTGGTTAACTTAAATTATATTGCAACCAAACAAACTTAAAATGTTTGCTCTTGATGCAGACTTTTTTCAAAATTAAAATTAGATTTATGAAAAACTCAAACTCCAAATCAAAATTATGGATTTGAAATTCCCTTCCAATGAAAATTATTTTTCTATCAACAGAAGAATCATGAAAATCTGTCAAGTGGTTGATTCAGAATCTGCGATTAAAAAAACTCTTCCACTTAATATGTAAGATTATTATATAATGTAATAAACGCTAGTATTTACCTGGTGTTCCTTTGAAACCGATTCAATGGTTGACATGTTGACTTTAAATTTTTGATGTGAGACCATTTGTTCTTCACTGCTGTTAAGATGAGATTCTTCACCTTCATTATCGATACATTCGGTAATACCAGAACTTGAAGATGAAATATTTATTTCATTGTTTGACTTTTCTAACAATCTATTTTTCAATATTTCCGATTCAAAATTGCTTTGTGGAGGTTCTGTTCCAGATTGGATATCTTCAGTTTCCATTTCAGAGATAACACTTTCTTCCTTCACAGTAGGTTCGATACATATAGAGTCATCCTTCGCAGTTTCTTCCAATCCCATGTCCTCATTCTTGGTTGAAATGTTTCCCACATCAGCAGAATATTCTTGGTTTTCAGAACATAAATTCCCTTCACATCTGGGACCGGTGTCTTTCAATGGCAATCCTTCACAATTTTGTCCCTCTGTTATTTCTTCAGAATAAAATCCCTCATTAATTGTTAATTCTTCTTTAATTGTTAATTCTTCTTTGATCATTATTTCTTCAAAATCAAGGGATTCCTCATGATTCATTTTTACACCTTAGAATATGTCTATGCCAACAATATCTAAATATGGGGAAAGACCTGGAACCAAAAATATTAAATTAACAGTTTATTTTATCTTTGAAATTAACTTAACCCTTTTACTCAAAGGCTGACATATCAGATGATTAGGTAAGGGCACAGTCATCGATGTGAGGTCAACCAAAGTTGTTTACAAATAGGCCTACGCACGTCATCTGTCTGCTACATTATGATAGGAAGGCAACTAAAATGAAAAGTGTCTAGAAACAGACATCAGGAGAAGGCTTAGAATCTGCCGAAAACAACGATACCAATCTCAATCCAGTTCAATCTGATTCAGTCAGTCCCAGAGCCTTCGCCTTAAATAATGTTTGTGAGTCGCAAAAGCGACGCATAACACCACAGCGGGTGTTAACACTTCGAGGGTTAACCTGTACTAAGTTAAAATATAATATAAATATTTTAACAGAATGAGTTTAAAACAAAACAGAAATCATAGATAGGTAGGCCTACCAGAAACTTTTAACAAAAACCAATACATTTTTTAAATACTTACACACACACACAAACATACAAGTCAGCGACCGCCATGCGTACAAGCCCCTAAGACAAACCTACCATGGCCATGTGTTCAAAATTTAGAGATTTTTTTTATATCGCATGAAATCTAGGCCCTTACATCAGATTCAATTTACATAGGCTATACTTAGGGCCTAGACCTAATAAAAAATTAATCCGATCATAAGCATAATATATATCATACCGTACCGTAGGCCTAACTATATCTGCGGAACTGTGCCCCTTGGTAAAATAACATTTAAACACACTACCTTTCTTGACAATTATTTATATGATCATAGGTCTAGAACTCCAATAGAAATAAACTGAAAACTTTGCCTGGTATGTACTTTAACGTGGATGCTGGGTCGAATTTACAAACTTCTAAAAAACAGGACACTTATTAACCCTCCGAGCGTCCATCGTCGAAAAATCGACGCGCTACACACTTTGTGTAGTGTCACGCGTCGATTTTTCAACGCACGAACATCGTTTACGGCGAAGGCTCTATGACTGACTGAATCGGATTGAACTGGATCAAGTTAGGTATCGTTTTTTTTGTTATATTCTACGCTTTCTCCAGAGGTCTGTCTCAGCGCTGTATGTTCTCCGAGCCGATCGTAATTGTAGCAGACAGCTGACGTGCGTATTTCTAAACAGCTAGGTTACCCTCGGACCGATGACTGATGTGTTTTATTACGTTTAACATTGTTTTAGTGTTAAAAATCAAAAGTAGTGATATACGTGGTGCATTATAAGAAGATTTAAGTGATTTTGAAGGGCTGGTTGATGATCCTGAAGAAGTAGGTAGTGATATTGATGTAAATTATCAGCCAGATTCCTAGCTATGGTAAGGCCATGCATTCTTAGCTGGTGTAAACGCTATGTACTGAAATCTGTTTTTTGCCCATAACTTATTTATTTGCAAATCTACTTCCTTATATTATTATATATTTGTAATCCTCATAAAATTTAGAACAAAGTGGCTATTTTCAAATATTTATAGGCCTATAATTTATACAATTTCATTGAGCGCGAACTTATTTTTTTTTTTTTACATTTTCCAAAATATTTTTTTTACCTAAAAAATTTTTTGAAACAAATGTTCTTTATCTTTTATGTATAATATTGAAGCCCATGATTTTCCAAACAAAATGGTATATAGAACAGTAGAATTAACATTGTTTTAAGCTTCTCAGATCAGTTTTAATAAAACCTTGCAAATGCGCCAAAAATAGGTGGACATTAAGGCCTAAACTATGGACACTCGGAGGGTTAACTTACCATTGAGATGTTTATGAAAAAATTAACACAGAGGATACGCGTACGGTACGGTAACCGAACCTGATTAGCCGTCTGGAAGTGACGTCACCAGGTTGTGGGGGCCCGGAACACCATTACCACAATAGTACAGCCAGTCGGTGTTTGTGGTGTAATGGGGACAGAGTAGGCTACTTGGCTGATCCTATAAGAGGTATCTAGATCGAATCCCTTCACGGTGACACTGACTTCTTGTCAAAGATTTTGCTTAGAATGTCAAATTTCTTCTTAACCATTTAAATCCCATTTTTTATCTTTTGTTAGAATTTGAGGCATTTGTAATTTTAAGATAAACAGAATTTAACCGTCACTTGATTTTTTAATTAGGCCTATCAGCAAGTTTGGATCGTTAGGTTATGACAGTAGCTGCCGGACGCCTAATCCATGTCCGGTTAACGAACGTGTTCATCCTCTGCCAAAAATTAACTCCAAAATTTGGTGACTAGAAAAGCTCAGAACGTTAAAACATAGCCTATGGGCCTAGGCTATTTATGTTTCATGAAATAATTAATAAGTTAGGCCAAGGTTAATACCATGACAGCACTTTTTATCCTGGATTCAGCACTGAGTGTAGGCCTAAAGAAAACCCCACTTTTCCTAAAAAATGCAGCATTCCACAATTAAGTTACATAACACAAGGCAATGTCAAAATGTCCACATAACCCAGGTAAACTTCACTTTAGTAGCAAATAGCCCTGAATTTTTGAGCTCCAAGATTTACAACAAGATCCCAAAGGAAATAAAAAATATTACAGGAATAGAAAAATTCAAGATTTTACTCAAGGATTATTTATTAAAGAGGCCATGATACAGGGTGTCCACCAGGCCAACGAGAAAAAATTCATGAGTAATTCATGAGTAAAAAAAAAAAAATCTGGTAGTTCAGGTCGTACTTTTCATACTAAAATTTCCAACGTGTTTTGAGCCAACTCCCGCAATGCTGTTATAGCGCTAACACAGCTTGCTACTTTAGTTATCGGAAAGAGCATTCTCAGTTAAGGAAAAAAAATTATGATTGCTGTAAT